TTTATTAAGATATAATTTATAATAAAACCTAAGCTTATTGAAATTTACTAAATTAAGATTATTACAAAACATAATCTTATTATAGTTATTGAATACATAAAGCAAAGATGTAATCATATTGTAGTTGTAACAAATTTATATATGAAATGCATAAGATTGCATTTACTATAGGCATAATCTTAAAAAGTTTAATGATATATGAGATTAAGGCGTAATCTTATTGCTATTACTAAAAAAAGTTTAATGATATATGAGATTAAGGCATTATCTTATTATAGTTACTGAAAAAAGTTTAATAATATGTAAGATATAAGGCGTAATCTTATTATAGTTACTGAAAAAAGTTTAATGATATGTAAGATATAAGGCGTAATCTTATTATAGTTACTAAAAAAGTTTAATAATATGTAAGATATAAGGCGTAATCTTTTTATACTAAAAAAGGTTAATGATATATAAAGATAATCTTATTAAAATATAGGCGTACTTTAATAATATGCAATATAATCTTATTATCATTACTAAAAAAAGTTTAATAATATGCAAGATATAAGGCGTAATTTTATAGTTACTGAACAAAGTTTAATGATATGCAAGGTATAGACATATTACTATTACTGAAAAAAAGTTTAATAATATTTAAATAATAAGGCGTAATCTTAATGTAATTAATATTGATAACGAGTTAAAATCAATAGAAAATAAGTTTATAAAAAAATATTTTTTTATTTCAATAAGAAAATATATTTTAACATTATGAGTGTAAATGTAACTGTCGAACAAAAAGTTGCGCTAGCTAAAGAAGCAGCGAGACTTAAAGAATTAGTATCTAATCTAAAAATTCAAAGAGATGATATACTTAAGAAAAATGAAGAACTTGAAAAAATTGCAGAAGGATTAGCAGAAAAAATCAAAGAAGCTGCTAAAGAAGCAATGAAACAATTGAATATTGATGAAAATTTAATGAAAGAAATTGAAGAAAAAATTGATACAGAAGCACAAAGAATAATAGAAGCTCTTCCAGCAAAAAGTAAAGATAAAACTGAAAATATAGAAGCTGCTTTAGAAGCTGCTAGACAAGTTACAGGATAATATTATTAATTTAGTATTTTGTATTACATTAAAATAAATATAATGTATAGTTCTGTATTTTTAATTTTTTAATCAAATAAAATTTGAAAATTTTTTATTTTTTTTTAAAAAATGAGTCAACAATTAATTGCTGAAATTACGCGAATTTCAAAAATAGTAACGAAATTAAAAGGAGAAAAAAATGATGCTCAAGTTAAATATGATGAGATTATTAAAAAATTTAATAATTTTACAACAAATATTCAAGATGCTATCAGTGATGTTCTTAAGAATATGAAAATTGATCAAGCATCTAAAGATAATATCATAAAAAAGATAAAAGAAAAAGCAGATGATATTATAGGAAAGATGCCAGAAGAAAACGATAATAATAATCCTAATATCCAACCTGAATTAGATATATTTGGTGAAATTAGTGATTGACAAAGAATAGAACATTTTTTGTTGATAATAAGTTTTTTTTTAAATTTTATTTTTATATTTTTTTTCATTTATTTAAATTATAACGATATGACTTTACAATGTATAATTATTTAGATATATAAACACATGTATCTTGTTATTTTTTTTAAAATAAAAATGAAAATTATTTTATTTCTTGTTTTAACGTATTTTAGTTTTGTTTTCTCATACACATGCAAATGTAAATATAATAATTACCCTTTTGAATATTGTTGTTATGATGAGATAGTAGAAACTGAAATAGTTTTATCAGATAATGATAAATATTTGGCTTTTCTCTATGATTTAATGATAAAAACAGAGATATTTTTTAAAAATACAAAGATAATACGATCATCTGAATATGCAGAGATAGAAAAATTAATAAATAATGCAATATATTCTAATAGAGAGATAGTAGAAATTGAAAGAGAAATTTATAATAGAATTATAGATTCAAATTTATTAAACGGAGATGAAAAAATTAAACTTCAATCATTAAGAGTTAGTAAGAAGATATATTTTGAATTTGTAGATGATTATGGAAAAGTAGATAGATATCTTCAAGGTTTAATAGACTTGCGAGAAGAAGTAAATAAGCATAAATTTTTAGTAGTTTTACATAAAACACAATTATTTAATTTGATAGATAATAAAATTAAAGAATTAAAAATGGAGGAGGATGAGGATGAAGAAATTTAAAAATTGTATAAATATCTCTAGAGTTCAATGATATGGTATTAAATGGAACTTCAAACAAAAATTTTTATTTTTACACATATCCTTTTACAGATAGCATTAATTTTATTTATTATTATATCTTTGTTTATAATAAACTATTGTTTTAAATCTGATATAAATGATATATACAATAATATTACTATTATTTTAAATACAAAAAATATTTTATTTGTATTCAAATCAATAATTTCAAAGATTATAAAATTTATAGATACAACTATAGTAAATCAAACTGGCGCCTAGATCGTGTCAAAGTTGTGGATCTCCGAGATCTTGTCAAAGTTGTGGTTCATCTATATTAGGTAAAAAACAACAAAAAAAGAAACCTGTTAGAGAAAAAAAAATAACACCAAACAAAGATAAAAAAATAAAAAAGAAAATACCAGTTAAAAAAACAGCAGAAAAGATTGTAAAATTTAGAAAGATTGAAGTAGGTGATTCAAAGAAAAAAAATATTGGAAAATTTAAACATATCTAAGATGAGCAAGTGTCCAGAAGATTGCAAGTACCTTTGTTGTAGACAAATCATTGTAGATAAAAGACTTACATATAATTTAGGAGCTTGTAAGAATGATAAAGATCTTCAAAAATCTAGAAAATGTGGGTTTCGACATGATGGATTTACATATAGTTACTGTAATAATTTTGATATCAAGTTTAGAAATCAAGATGGAATAAGGATACCTTTTAACGAACCTTTATCAGAAAGATTTTATATTTTCCATTATTTAGATTTAATGATAATGAGTTAAATCAATTTGATCAGGAAACTCCAGAATTCATACTTTTAGATATAGCATTTGATTTAACATTAGTTTTGTTTCATGGGTCTAATAAACATAATCAACTTAGACAAACATTACAATTACCAAGTTCTACAGAATATTCTAATGATTTTATTCTGATGATGCAAAATATGTTCTTTTCTATATATTTGATTAATATTTGTGATAAAAAATTAGCCAAACAACAAGAATATAAAGCAGAAGATTTTTTAATAGGAAATAATTTTGAGAATATACAATTTAAAGAAGGAATAGAAATATTAGAAGAAATATATAGATATATACCATGTGGACTTGATTGTATATTTCATGATTATAATATCTCTCTTTGTTATGAATTTCGAAAAAATCTAAAAGTTTGTATATTAAATAAGAAGGTAGAAGGAGAAGATTATTATTTTAATATAGAAAAATTTGGAATAGTAATGATAGTAAATTATATGGATTGGTTGCATCAGATTAGAATTCAACATCCTAATGTAGAAGAAAAAGATAAACATGAATTAGATAGAAATTTTCAGATTTCAGAAGGTAGTACTAGATGGTCAGTATTCATAAAAGAATTTTATCTTGAATCATTTTATAAACTAGTTATTAAACCTTTAACGATAAGTAATTTTATGAGTTAGAAAAAGTATATAAATAAAAGATTTATTTATTTTTTTATCATATTTTAAAAAAATATCTTGTCCTCCTGATAGTTCACTTCTATATTGTAATAATTTTATTCATAATCCAGTTATAAATTGTAATCTTGGAAAATGTGCTTCAGATGAAAATTTAGATTTGAATATATATAGGTTTAAACATGATGAATATACTACAATTAGATGAGTATTAGACAAGTTATAATTTCAATTTTCTTCTTTAGGTATTGGATAAGTTAGCTGAGCTTTTATTTAGACCGAATTTCTCTTTCTCTGATACAAAGATTAGCAAGATATCTAAATATTTTTTGTACTGTTGTATCTACTTTTTTTATTAGTAAATAGCTTATATCAAATAGATCTAGTGCAGACTTAGGCTTTGTTTTTTTAAGTGCCTTTAACCATTCTTCTTTAGAGATCTCATCTTCTAAACTATCATATATTTTGCTATTTACCTTTTCTAATAGATTTAAACTCTATTTATTTCTGAAGTTGTAATCTTATAAATTATAATATATTAATATTAATTAGATATTAGAAGTATAACTAGTATTTGCAACATTTATCATATCAACTCTTTCTGACGATCCCTAAAACCAAAATGATGAAGAAAAGAAAAAACTTTTATATATATAATAATACTCTATTTTTTAACGTAGTATATACGAGTGAGACTGGAAAAACCAGAAGTTCAATAAAATATATTCTATTATTGAAGAGTAGGCTACGAGCTATTCATAGGTTATTGACGTTTTTATATATTATATATATTATATATATTATATATATTGTATATATCTTGTCATTAAAAACAAGCTCCTTGGATATAAAAGTTGAAGAAAATACTTGAATAGAGTCAAATATAATACTACTCCTTATGCTTTTCAAGATTATTTTGGATATCTCTACTCTCACTCCTAAATCTTTAGCTGGTCTTGAGAATGGTTTCGACTGTTTGGTGAACTTTGAGTATTTTTTATACAAAAAGTGGGGAATAGAGTTCACTCTCTACCAAAGATCAGCATGCATATCATCAATGAATTTGGAAGTAGGCTTATGGTATAACAACAACAAACATGTGTATGTTTTGAAGTTAGCACAACAAATACATGATTTTATTTTGCAATGTAAACTATGAGTTTACTGTAATAATAATAGGCCATCACGTGTTCGACAAAATAATCGAATCATTATCAAATACTAGAGATATTTGCAAATAAGTATATTTTGCATTTATAATTTTTAACTACTCAGTCTTGGACAGGATTATATATTTAGGTTATGATTCTTATGAGATACTTTTTTTTTTCTTTTCCTTTTTGTCTTTGTTTTTGTTTTGTTCTTTTTCCTTTTAGCTTGTTAGGTTTTTAACTTGTTAGCAAGTTTTTTTAACTTTGCTTTGAATGTTATATGTAGTATGTGGCCTTGCTTTTCACTATATGTAATAATTTTATTTTACTTTTATCAATGTCTGTCTTTCTAGATAGTCAGACAAAATTATCCAGACTTTTCTTTTTCTTTATATTAAGGAGGTTTTTAGTGTGATAGATCACGTTTGGATACATATGCAAATAGAATGTAAGTGGTATTTTCCATTAAGAAATTAGATATATAGGAGGGAACTATAAGTTCTTGTATTAAGTTAAATCTTATGCAAACTAGCCATATGTAACTCTTTATCTAATAAATGCGTAAAGCGTGACTATCAAAGGAAAAAAAAATATATATATATATATATACTAAAGAGAAAAAACTCTGAGATAGTTACTAAAAAAAACATATTTTATGAGAAATTCTCTAAAGATAATCACTAGTGTATAATCATCTTTGATTATAAAAAAAGTTATAGAGAAGCAAAATATAAATTAGAAAATAAAAAAGAAAACTATAAACAAATATAGCTTTTCTTATAAGAACTATTAAATATAGATCAAAACTTAAGCTTAAAGAAGAAAACTCAAAATAGTATAACAAATAAAACTAATAATAAGAAAAGAGAAGAAATTAAGAAAAAAGTCAAGGAGGAATTAGAAAAAGTTTTTAGACAAAGAAGTATAAAAAACAAGTTAGTTGTATTAAATAAAACAGAAACAGCTTAAAATTTCAAAAGCTCTAAGTATATAGAAATAGAAGAATTAATTATCTATAAGATCTTTTATATCAAACAAAAAGATTATAAGTATTTGAAGCTATAAGATATCTAGAAAGAATCAAATATATCAAAATAATAAAAGAAAGATATCATAAGCTTAGAGCAGAAATTATTTTTACTAAAGAAAGCAGAAAAGATAAAAATAATCTGTTTTAGATAAACTTTTTTGAGAATAATATTTTAATAAAAATAATTTCTAGTCTTAGCAGAAAAGAGTTTTTAGAAGAATAAAAACAATATTTACTAAGATTGTATAATATTTCTAAAATGTTAATGAAATATTATAGTTTTAGTAGTAGAATAGTTAATTAGTTTTCTTCAACTCAAGCTAAACTAGATGCAATTTGAATAGCTTTACTAGCAACTCCTGCTAAAACAAAAGTAAAACTATATTCAGATAGCAAGATAGTAATCAAAGAAATTTAAGATTTCAAAAGGCAAGTAAATATAAAAAGCATATTTAAAACCAAGAACTGTAGCCTAATTAACTAAATAATAGATTGCTGTAGAACTAAAAATATTGAATTAGAGCTAATCAAGGTGAAAAGATATAGTATGAACTTCTAGAATAATAAAACAGATGAGCTAGTGAAAGAAAACCTCTCATATAATCTAGTATTAGAAATATAAGATATTATAGCAGGTAGTATAAGGGTAGTACTAACATAGAAAAGCAAGCTAATAGATAGCCCTCTTAGATTATTTGTTAATATAATTACAACAACAACATATAAATGTAAATGAGCAAACCTAAGTAATATTAAACTAATACTAAACTAATAATCGAACTCACAAGGTAATAAAGAGCTAAACTAGAAAAATATATGAAGTTTATTAAAGAAGCTTCAGAGAAAGAGATACACTAGTATTAAAAAAAAGCAAGACTCTAATCTTCAAGATAAAATATCTTAACAAGCTATTACTAACTAAAGATCTCTGTTTTCAAAGAAACTTTAAGCTATATAAGAGTAAAACTTGTATAGCATATTTTGCGAAAGAAAAATCTTTAGAATATATTGCAGAATACTAAGTATATTAAAGAATTTAGAGAAAGATCAAAGATTTTATTATAGATGAGCTGGGTTTAAAGCTCAAAAATAAATAGAATATAATTGTTTCAGATCAAACTCTAAAAGAAACTTTTATGAGCTAAGATATAGCTAAAATATACAACAGAAGAAAATTATATATTCGAAGCTTCACTAGTAACTATCTTATAATAGAAGTTAAAGATATCTTAAGATCTGCATCTAAAACTAGCAAAGTAATAAACTAGTTTTCAGAGATTTTCTGATCTAATTTCTTTAAAAGGCTATGGAAATTCTACTACAAAGTTATACTAGAATGAAAAGGAAAGAATAATATCAAGATTAAAGAGAAAAAAAAAAAAGCAAAACAAAAGATTAATAAGCCTAAGAAGAAAAACTTAGCAAATAAAGAAAACCAAAGCACAAACAAAAATAATCAAAAAAAATTAAGTAGAGGCAAGGAAAAAAGAATTCAAAACCTAGCTGAAGCTAAAGTTAAAACATGAATTGAAAAAGAATTAAAGGAAAGTTGGTTAAACTTTAAAAATAACTAAGAAATCTTGAAATAAGTACAAAAGAATTTTTTGTAAATCATCAGAATATGATTTTGCTTAGGCAAACTACTCTAGTAAGAGGAAAATTTACTTTTGCAGCTAATTATACTTAGGCACCTAGAGTAGCCGAGTGAGTTTGAAATTAGAAAAAGAGGGTAGTTATATAGCTAGTCTAGATTAGTTTTTATTTCTGCTGTAATATTATTTATATTTTCTCTTAATAAATAAAGGACAAAATCACCTAAGTTAAAAAAAAAAATGTAGATTATTATTATTATATTTAGACTATTTGTAAACAAATTTGATTACATTCTTTTATAATATAAAAGATAATATTATATTTTTTCAAATACTATATCATATTTCTAATATTTAATTAATATTAATTTAACATGATTTATTGAATTACAACCTTTAGAAATAAACAGAGTTTATCATAAGTTAGATACAAAAATATAAATAATTATTCAAATTTGTTAATAGTAGAATTTGAACTTCAAATCTCTTGTATGATAGTTTAGCAACCTAACTACTATATTAAGATTACTAGACTTTATTGTATATATAAGTTGTAATAGTTCAGAATAAAATAAAATTTCTACTTAGATTATAATAAAAGTATATTAGTTATTCATATATTAGATTTTGTAATTAGATCTAGTGATCTTAGTGTAGTAGTTAGATTACCAGACTGCTATGCAAAAGATCTGAAGTTCAAATCCTACTGTTAACAAATTTGAATAATTACTCAGATTTTTGTATCTAACTTATGGTAAACTCTGTCTGTTTCTGGAGTTGTAACCTTATAAATCATATTGCACCAATATCATTCAGATATCAGAAGTATGACGAGGTGTTTGAAGAGATGTAATATTATATGAATAAATTTTGATAAAATCTACGAGCAGAGAATCTGTATAGTAGAAATCCTGAGTTAGTGAAGTAGTATGACTTTCAACAGTCATATCAGCTAATACTTAATCTAGAAAAGAAACTGTTGCTCTGAAAATATAAATTGAGAAAAGTACGAGTAAGTCTATTCCACAAAGAGAATTAGCAACACTAATTTGATTTAGTAGCTAACTAAATTAGAAGAATTTATCTCATGAAACATTCGAAGAGATTAGTAAACAGAAAACTAGTGAAGAGTCACAGTAAGAACTATGGTTATATGAATATTTACAAGGGTCTAAGCTAAGTGAATCTGTAAAATAGGTATGGACTGCTCTAGTAGGTATGCTTCGAGATTAACAAAAACTCTGCAGACTCATAATATGTTGAGCAATATGTATCTCAAGAGGACCTAAACTGAAGTCAAAAAATAAATCTGTAATGAGCTAACTAGCTTAAATAGTTAGATGTTATAGTGATATTAGTTTGTAACAGTATGAGTTAATTAAATAGAATATTTAAATAGATAACTCATAGGAAAGTTACAGATATAGTAGCATAGTGTAGAACTAATCAGATGATCTATTACATATATAGCAGACTACTTAAATTAGACAATAACTAAAGTTGTATATGTAGCTTGTTGTATACTCTTCATGTAATTACAAACTATAGGAATTGCTTATATGTAATCTCATATATCAAACTAATAAAAATCATCTGACAATATAAACCACTTTAAAAATAAAAAATAAAAAAAAGATTTTGTAATTGATTTGATTAGTTAGTAATTATATTTATTGTTTATATTTATTAACCAATTAAATTGAATGTCCATTATACTGTTATAACGCATATACTCTAAATAATAAAAATCTAATTATTAAATATTATTAATAAATTTATAATTTTGGTCAAAATTAATTTTATAATTTTGGTTGGAATTATAAAAGTTTGACCGGAATTACATTTAACATATTAACTAACTCATCTACCCAAAAATCAGCTAACTTCTAAAAGCCCCTAATATAAAAGTAGTAGGATTCAAAAGGATTCAAATGATATTCTTAAAATACAGCACGAAAGCTTCAAGTTTGCTTAGTACACTAAGCCTGGTTTAAAGATGAGATAATTCTACTCGGGCTTCCGAAAAAAGTAATTTTTTATTCAATTGATAGTTTGTGTAACGATCGACGTTCTCCCTGGAGCCTAATGTGCCTGGCATTGGCACTTGCAGAACCCTACTATTCACTCACAAAAAAGTCAATTTGGGTACCATGACATAGATAAGTAATTGTTAAAAAAAGAGAAGAAAATTTACTAAACTCGATGAATATTCAATTTAGGATTTGGTCATTTGTGCACAAGAATACTCAGAACAAACATTTGAAACTTCAATGTTAAGCATTAAAAATTTGATCTGGGTCGGAGGCTAGAGTAAAGATCATTTGGGCTAGGTGCCGAGAAAAGGGACGAAAAGGGACGAAATTAACAAAAAAAAAAAAAAAAAGATCTTCGAAAAATCAATTTTTTTGTTATAAATCTTATAATAAATCATAAGAAAATGCAAACTTTAAAGAGCTATACTGCAAAATTTTATTAATATAACTACTTTGTGTCTTAATAGAAAAATGATCCTAATATTATTTTAAATTGATTTATGTAAAAAAAATAGTTTTTAAAAAAATTGTCATTTTCATCCTTTTTTCCAGCACCTAGCCCATTTGATCAAAAGTATGACCGTTAATAGTATTGAGCAGAGGAAGTCCAAAGTGTTGTAAAAAAACGGGCAGTGCAATAAAAGGTCACAATTATGACAGTACAGGGACCTTAAATATTATTGGTAAACATTAATAAATATGATCATGACTCAGAGGCTAAGTCGTGCAGAGAACACTTGATTAATATATGATCACTTTAGTACTTGCATTAAGAAATAAAATGAAATTTATAATGGAAATATAATATTAAAACAAAGGATTACCCGCTAAAAGCCTAAAATTTATTTTGAATACGATGGTTTTTTACCGCTACTTTAAACGTGAATAATTTGTTTAGCTATGAACAGGATACTATATAATGGGTTAATATGAGTCCGAGATAATATGAATTTGAATGCTATGTAACAGCGAGACCTATCCCCATATATATTTTACGTAATGCAATTTAATAAACCTTCGATCGAACAATAATAAATGATAATTATGGTCTGAAAAAGGCAGTGGCCTTCAAACAAGCGATAGGTCTTCGATCTGGTGTATACACGTGGACATCAACGGTATATTTACCCTATAATCCGAATATATTATAATCAATATATAATACATGTTCAATTTATTATAAAAAAAAAAAAAACAAAAAATGCTTATTTACCGGAGGAATTTCCTTTGGCAACTCAACTGTATGTTGTAAAGTTTGCTCTCCTTTTTCTAAAGGACATTCCTTATTGACTTTTTCGACTTGCTCACACAAGTCAAGTTTCTTTTGTAAAAGTCTGATCAAACCCATCTTGACAGTTAATTCAATATAACTACCCTCCACAACAGTTTCAGTTAAATATCCTGCGGCATCAATACTAAGTTCTTGGCCTCTTTGAGGAGGGTCAGGAGCTATATCAAGGTACGTAATATGAAGTATATCTTCAGGTTTTCCGCAATCCTGAATCGAATCGGTTGTGAACGTTTCAGTAAAAGTCTTTATTAAAATTTGGTCATTAATATCAACAATAAGATTTCTTTGGTGAGTATCTGCGTAAGCAAATACTATGAGAAACGCCAAAATAACAATGAGATTTTTCATTATTAAAAGAGAGAAATAGATATTTGTCACTAACGCTAATTTAACGGTTAATTTATATCGATATACAGTATCGGTATTTTGGGAATTTCATAAATGATGTCACAAGATAACAAGTTACACGTACGGCGCATCACATTATATTTTAATTGTCCCTTATTAGCCTCCACATGGTATGGTACGTATGTTTTTTTGGGGGGATTTGAAAAGTGAAACAAGGAACTAAAGATCATTCAAATTACAAATACTGTACAATCTTTGTGCCAATACGTAGTAAAAAAAAAACAAAATCTTGAAGGTACGTACAGTATTGATTGTTATACAGATTTAATATTTAATATCAGATTTACAATATTTTATCAAGAGTACGAGATTCGAACAGGAATTACATCATAACGATAACAGATAATTTTTCAGATAATTTTTTTTTTAAAAAATTTAGTTTAATTAGGGTTAATTAAGGTTGTGTTACGAAATTACAAATTAGACTTCATGTAATATCTCATGTGATACTGTAGGTAAAGTACAGGAGTTTACTTGATTCGCAATCAAATAGGCAAAACATACTCAGTAAATCAATAAATAAAAACAGAGTAAATCGGTAAATTACAGAATTATATGAAACTCAAGTGAATGTAAACTCAGGGTCGATGATTGATTTTCCGCAAATTCTTGCGCATCGATTTGGTATTTTTTTTTTCAAAAAGCAGTTCCGCGATATTCTGCATTCCGTGTAACGCAGGATAGAGGTTGGAACCGGTTTTAATAATTCGGGTTTATCACGTGAATAAATTCTAAAATATCACAAAAATTCATGTGATAACGTAGGAAACTGCATCAAACCCTCCTACCGTTATTGGCTAAGATAATTCCAACTTTAGATTAGATGTAAAAATTTCTGAGATTTAATAATGTTTTATTTCCAACATAAGATTAAAAGTTATTTATTACTAAATCTAAGGAAACACACGCCTCGGAGATTGTGTACGCATACTTATGAGTCACTTATTAATTTGCTTAAACGCAAATCTTTCTCCACCTCCAGTATAAATAATTTCACCAGGGAAATTGAGCCTTCATATAATTTTGCTTCGAGAATTCGTCATACTTTACCGCGTCAATTACGTCCTTGGTCACGATTAGAATTAAAAGTTTTGGATACTCTTGTTAAAAAACATGGACAAGACTGGGATAAAGTCGCCAAACATATACCCGGTAGGAATGCTGGTGAATGTTGTATTCAATACTATTCCATGCCCTTGTATTATCGTGAACTTCGTGATGAAGTAGAAAATATAAATACAAAAGATACTAAATCTTCTGAATTCAAGACAATTTTCTCTGAAGAAGAATGTAAAATTATAGATAATTTACTCGAAAAATATGGTTGTAGATGGTCTTTAATTTCAAATCAATTCCCGTCAAAGACTCCAGAGTTAATAGAAACATTTGTATATGAAAATTTAAATAAGTTTCCTGCTTTATTAATGCTTTCTGATAATTCAATTAGAAATAAATCTTGGTCAGATAGTGAAATGAAATTACTTGATAATTTATTTAAAAAATATTGTCGAAATAATAATTTAATTTCACAAAGAATATCTAATAGATTATCAGGATCTATGTCTCGATTATTATTACGTTTTCCACATAAATTACAAAAAATTCGTAATATAAAGACTTCAAAATGGTTCAAGATCTCAAGTCCATGGACAGAACGTGAGACATGTTTATTAAATGAACTTGTTGAACAATATGGTAATGATTGGTCCTTAATATCAACTATGCTTCCTGGGAGAACTGCATACGCATGTAAAGATAAATATTATTCTTGTTGGCTACCGTCATTATCATCAAATAAAGCTGATTTGGTAAAACATAGTTGGCCACATGAGGTTATTCAGCTTTTAGATCTTTTAATATCAAAGTATGGAAAATGGCAAATAATTCCAACCCTTTTGCCTGGTATTTCACCTATGAATCGCCATGTACGTACAACAACTCTTACACGAGGGTGGAAAGAACGAGAAATATCATTATTAAAAGATTTAATAAAAAAATATGGTCAGAATTGGAAGAAGATTCAATTATATTTTCCGCATAAACAATTAAAAGCAATCGAATTTCATGTGAGGACAAATCCCCAACTTTATTATATAGAAGGACAAGAAAATGAGGTTGATCTTTATGAAATCCAACAACATTTTTGTATACGAAGACCTTGGTCTGGAGAAGAAACAAGAAAACTTTTAGAATTAAAATCTCAATATGGTACTGATTGGCGTAAGATCTCTAATATTCGATAGCAATTTGGTTATTTCATTGAATACATAATGGCTTGTTATTATTGTAGTAAATTCGCAATTTATATTGCAAAATAAAATTATGTATTTGTTGTACTAACTCCAAAACATATATGTGTTTGTTGTTGTCACACCATAAGCCTACTTCCAAATTCATCAGTAATGTGTATGCTGATCTTTAGTAGGGGGTGAGCTCTATTCCTCACTTTTTGTACAAAAAATATTCTAAGTTCACCAAACAGTTGAAACCGTTCCCAAGACTGACTAAAGGTTTAGAAGTGAGAGTAAGGATATTCAAAATAGACTTGAAAAGTATAAGGAGTAGTATTATACTCGATTCTATCCAAGTATTTTCTTTAACTTTTATATCCACAGAGCTTATTTCTAATGATAAAGTATATAAAATATATACAAGATATATAATATATACAATATATAAAAGCACTAATAATCCATAAACAGCTTGTAGCCTACTCTTCAATAAAAGAACATATTTTATTGAACTTTTGGTTTTTCAGTCTCACTCGTATATATTATATTAGAAAATAGAGTATTATTATATATATATAAGTTTTTCCTTTTTATCGTCATTTGGTTTTAGAGATCATTGGAAAGAGTACAGTTGATTTTCTTTTTTAACTATTTAGTTATTAATAATTTGAAATTAGCTAATTCTTATAAAGTATTAGTCTATATATATTTTTTGTACTGAACTATTAGTATAAAATATAAACTCTTGTTAATTTAAATTTTGTAAAGCTAAATTGAATAAGAGTTTAGAAGTTTTATTAGGTTTAAATATTTTAGTTATATAGTTGTTTTTTAAATTAATATTTAGAAAATATGAAATAGTTAATAGATATCTAATTGCTAAATTATAAATTAAATCTACTATATTTGTATTAAGTTTTAGTTCAGCAAATACTATCTATATAAGACCTAGTCTAGACTTTAGTCCTATATATAACTGATATATTAATAATATATAAGTTTATAATACAATTAGAATTCAGATTACAACTTAAGCAAAAAATATAGTTAATTTGTAAGTTAGAATAATAAGCTGTATAACTTCTGTTATAGTTAGTAGTTTAATAAGTTAATAATATAAAGTTATTGTTTAAAAAGAATTTATAAGCTTATAATTGTTATATATATATTTTATTTTATTTTATTATTTTTACAAGCGACCTCTTTGGCTAGACATTTTATTAAATTTTTGTTATAATTTATTACAAGTAATAATTACAACTAGTTTAATATCTATATACAACCTTAGGACTAATTTATCCTCAAGATATACTTGACCTAAATTATGACTAACCTACTATAGTCTTAATTAGAGTTTATACTATAGCTATCCTTATTAGATCATCTTCTCTGCATTCACTGTATCACTCATATTCCTACAGAGATACTACCAAATAGGTACTATAGATCATATAAGGCATCATAATTCTTACAGAAAACTTTCTGTTTAGTGTTTAGCTATACAATGTTCAATCTAGGCTTACTACTAATACAACTACTGCAGGACTGGGTATACAGTATTTATAATATACAACTGTATTTATATGTAGTACTACTATCAATACTGGATACTCTTATGTATTGGTAGAGTACAGACTATATTTCACAACAAAGTTGTTCCTAACTAGGTTTGTAATATATAATACTACTTCCAACTTACTTCTGCATTAGCTAGTATTTAATGTTGGTATGCTTTTGTACTCAAATATGAGATGTATTACTAGCTTAGTACTTCCTGCCAATTTGGGTTATTACATATATTCTAAATAGTAGCTAACTCTTTACAGAACCAGGACCTTCCAATTCTAGCTTTTATATATATTAGAGGTATTCTATATCAAGTCAAAATAATCTTTCAACTACTCTTATATATTAATTGAAAACTTCCTTAACAACTACTCCTAATATATTTCTTTTAAGCAATAACTACACACAAAAAAAATTATGTTTCTTAAACAGCTTATATCCTCCAATATTACAACACTTCTTAACTGAACTTATATCTCTATATGTATCAAATATCTCCTTATAAGCAGAAAACCCAAATGGTTTTCTATACTTAAAAACACTATTCTTACTAACTTATCAATTCAGAAAATTTTAAACCAGATAACATTTTCAGATATCAATTCTCTCTCTTTCTCTACTAGCCATTTTACAAACAAACTATCTTCTTGGCTACTTATATATAATGATAATAATATCATTATTAGAAAAGCATGTTACTATAATCACTCTACCAATACTATTTCTATAACATATTAGCAAACAAATATTGACCCTTTTATAACTTCTCTCTACTCTACTCTACTAATTTCTTATCATTTATGTTCTGAATATAATCTAAACTCTTTATGAATTGCTAACTACTGCACCCTTGATATCTTTGCTACTCTCTTTACTAAGTTTCTTAGCAGAAAGATATATGATAATACAACTAACAAACTAAAGCTAAATGCCTACTACCTTGACTTACTATACTCAATTGCCTTTAAAAACCCAACTAACCTACCTCCCTCACCTTTAATTATAATCTCACAAAGTTCTGTTTATACTATCTTCTACTCAAATCTAGTTTCTTACAAACTTGAACAGTTTGCATTTAACAACCAATTCTTCTTCAATTTTACTTTCTATACTGATAGATCAGTATTTAATATAACTACTGACTGCTACTTTATGAGCATTAGTTAGGTACAAATATTAAATAACTTAATAGTCTATACTTTTTTAGCTCCTATAAAAAACTAGCCTTCTTCTTATAAAGCTGAACTGATTGTGATTCTATTAGCAATTAGTACTTGCTCACAAAATAGCAATATCTATTTCTATACTGATTCTTAATCTATTATATCTAAATACACCAAAATTACTATATATCCCCCAAAACCCAACAAAACATACTCTTATAACTACTAGCCTATTTGGCATATTCTACTCAACTTGATCAAATCCTTCTCTCTAAATATCACATTCTACAAAGTCCTTGCATACCAAGATAATACTTTTAATAATCTTGCTGACTCCCTTGCTAAAAATAATACATCTCTTGACTACTTAGACTTCAAACAAGATAATCTATACAACTCATCATACTTTCTTCAATACAATAATCTCAACATCAAACAACCTACTTACTACTCTATTAAAAACATCTGCAATATCTATATTAGTACTATGTAGTTATTCCAAAACTGAATAGACTATATTATACTAATTTCTCATCAGATTGACTAGAATGCTACATGGCTCTTCCTTAATAATAATTACAAGCAAACTCATAACTATACAAACTTTTAAACCTGTTAGG